TAATAAAAAATAAAATGATTAGTATAACTGTTGGTGAAACTTCCTGTGTCCAGTGTTGATGTTGAAAGATATTTTTCAATTTATTAACTGATAAATGCACAGCTTTAAAATTTCATGTATTTTAATTTTTCTGAATATTAATTTTGGTCGGAATTATTATAAATTTGCTCCAAAATTATGAAAAAAAAAAGCATCAGGGCATAATTTGGAAGAAGAAAAAGCATAATCCTGGACACCCTAGTTTGTTTCTATCACTGTGATAGAAACAAACTCGTGCATATTATCTAACCCAATTTGATAATTATTCGCAGATAATTTCCAAATTTGGTTAGACGATGTGCTTTGTGCACATAAATCAATCAATTTGTTATGTGATTTTATTTGAACCAAAGTTCATAAGCTCAAATGATTTTTTGAATTGGTTATTTAACTTTTGAACCAGTTATTTAACTGACAGTTCAAAAGTTAAATAACTGTTATTGCCAACACTGATCAACAGTGATTTTATTATTTTTGGATACAAATCTCTGATTGGCCAATTTAAATTTCACACACAATGTTTAGTAAAATAATAAAAAACCCCGATTTTTAGTGAATTTATACAAAGTATGATATTTGTCTACTAAATTATTAGATAAAAAATTTATTCAAGTTCTTAGCCGGCTTAGCTGGCTAAGGTTTTTCTACTGGCTAACATCACTAATTAATAGCACTTAGTCTATTAATCTGTTGTAGGGGCAAGTTTTACTTCCCTGCCTGGTAACATTTTCTCAGCAATTCTTTGTTATCTGCCTGAGCTGGCACATCCCACATAAGGTTTTCAGTCCAAACTGTTTTCTCAAAGCCCAAACTAGTTTGGGCAATTTGGGCTTCTCAGCATTTTTTATAAACATAAACACTAAAAAACTATACCAATCAACTTATTTTAACTTAAAATAACTTTAAAGTAATTTTTGCCCAAAGTGTTTCAGCAATTTCAGCTACTAATAAAGAGAGTTTCTGCTGGAAACCTTAGTCTGAAATCAAAATTATTCAACACCAAAGATGAAAGAGGTAAGGTGATTGTCCAGTGAGTGTCATCCATTCTTTATGTTTTGCTAGATACATAGTGTGCCTTTTCTTTAACAACTTGTGATGAAGGTTGCAGCAAGATCAGAACAAGACTTGCTAAGATGTTTTACCACATACTGAGAAAGATTCTCCCTAAGATGAAGCAATAAATCCACTTAAAAATAGCTACCTAAAAAAAAAAGAACATTATTTCAGAGGCATATGCAACAATCTTAAGTTGAGCTTGAGAATCAAGATCTATGTTTCATCAGCTGACATCATTTGGAAAATGATTGATGGAAAATATACCTGCTTTTTTTTGACAGTTTGGAAAGTCCTTCAAATCATTAGTCTAAAAAAAAGAATATCTGTTGATGCCCAAAACATTGGTGAAAAGACCATACACTCATCTTTGAAAGTGAAGGAAGATACAAAGAAACATTGATTTTTTCAATCAGACTGAGCTACAAAAATCAATGCCATTATAATAAATGAAATATCTATGGTGGGCAATGATCTGCTCATTTTCATTAGCAATACATTCTCCTAGGTTCACAATAATAACTGCATATCAACTATACATGAAGTCGAAATTAAAACCCCAAAGTAGTGTTCCATGTTGCAATCCAAAAATGGTTGTAAAGGTGGTTGCAACCAGCAGTTGCAATCATTTTTATATGATGCAAAGATGGTAGCAATCATTATCAAAAGTTGCAGCCAGTATCCTTACCCCAAAGTCAAAATCTTTTGACTTGATGCAACTACATATATAGTAAAAACCAGTTTCGACCTTATTTTGACTCTATTTTGACCAGATCTACAAATGGTCAAAATAGTTTCAACTTCATGTATAATATCAACCAATTTTTCATTTCTAGAACTTTCAATATCAGAATCACTAACTATGTTAAAAAAAAATTTTTATAAGAACCTAATTTTTATTTTTATTAAATAATTTTTTGCAATTATTTTCTGAATCATTTATTGAAGCATCATTATTTTCTCAAGTTGTATTTCTCCTTTTTGTAATTGAATTTTTATCATTATAAAAAAAATCCATTTCCTGAATATCTTGTTATTATTAGTAATGATCAGTGAGGTAATAATCATGTATTTTTTCGCAAAAATCATCTGCAAATCACCAAATCAATTTCTAAATAAGGATAACATGTACCCAATCCACCAATAAAATTGGATATTTTCATGATGCTGCGCAAATTTGCAGATGTTTTTGCGAAAAAATACATGAATTTAGCAGAGTGCATATCTCACAATAAATAAAATTTAAAGTTCATCTTCTTTTTTGCTAGAGTTTCTATTCATAAATTTGTAATAAATTCTTATTTGAATTATTTACAATACATTACTCGATCTAATTCAATTATTTGTTTTATTTGAATTATTTGAATTATTCATTTATTTTGAATTATTCATTTTATTATTCATTTTCATTTCGAATCATTCATTTTAATTGTTTTTATTTCGAATTATTCATTTATTCAAGTAGAAACCCTAGTTCTGGTCAAGTGCAAGATTTTCTTTCCAGCTGCATGTGTACTATTATTGCAGGCAAGTTCTGGTCAAGTGTCTCAGTTTTCTTTTCAGCTTTGTATGCTCTAAAAAAAATAGAAATATACTACTTGAGGCATCACTATAAACAATATAGTAAAATCAAAAGGGTTCCTAACTAATAGTTAAAGGTTGGCCAAATCATTAATCATCAGAAAGGATTATGTTTATTAACCAATTACAGTTTTTAAGTGTATTTATACTTATTAAAGTATTACAAACAACATGGATTTTTACATGATTTTGTCCAATAGTTATAATAAATAGAATGATTATAATGAATTATTAATAGTAATACTAATGTTAAATGCCGAAATGCATCATTTATGATATCAGGATATAAAATAAATTGATTGACAACAATTGGAATCATTTCAAATGTATAGAGTAAGATCTAATTTCATATCTGTTTTTCATAACTGGAAAATAAAAAAATAAAAGCGAATTTGTATAATTGATGATAAAATAAAAATGAAAACACAAAGAAGTGGCTTACCTTAAACTATATGCATTATCATTTGACCCATTTTGGTTTTTCTTGGCCTATTCGTGATATGTCAAAGACATAGTTAAATAATAAAAAATGACAAGTTTAACAACTTGATGGGTAAAATTTATTGGTTTATTTGTAAGACTTGTTGCAATATCTCCACAGAATGAAATCATCCTCAAAAAACGTATCATCATTTGCTACTTGTTGCTACTAACGTTATTGCTTAATGTTTCTATAATAATAATGCTTTCTCGTAACAACTACTGATTAATGGATTGATTGCACTCTTTATATATTAATATGAGCTTTTTCCGTCTTCTTTAAACATTAAAAACATTAAATAAAAGTTAGCAAAAGTCACCATATATCACGTGACTTGTATTTAAACAAATTTACCTGAAATTTTTTGATTGGGCGAGAAATCGCGTGTTGCGGTTTGCGTTATAGAGCCAGAACTTGTTAAACCAAATTCAACGTTTTCACTAAAAAAAATTTAATAGTTAGACAATAAAACAACATCAGTTTATCGTGTATATTCGTTTTATCAACAAGTTTTGATTATGGCAATAATAATAATAATAATTACGGATTCTCATTTTATTGATTACGTCATTTGACTCAAAACGTTCAAATAATTACGGTAAATTTGGCAATTAATTATAATTTGTGTCACGAATATTTACAATCAATTGGCATTCGGATATTTAAATTACCAAAAACGACATATATATTAATATTGTATATTGATTGGCTCAACCAATCACATGGCTAAACTTACATTCAAATCAATTTACCAAAAAAAAAGATACAGTGAAACGTTGTTAAATGCAATTAATATTAATATGTATTAGCATGAAATGCTTAGTTACATAAAAAGAAAATCTTTTTTGATATTTTTTTTTCATCTAGCAACATTTAATCTCCTGACATCCTTGGATGAAAATTCTTATTAACATTTCTATATTTAGTATTTATTATTATTATAATTTTCCATCGAGTAGAACCACTTATACATGTATTACAGCAAACCAGCTTTGTAAACAGATAAATTACATAATTTGATGAAAGGTAATGAAACGCATCATCAAATATTGGGTTTCGATATTGATCACGGTGTCAACCGACAAGTAATTTCATTATTGATAGGTGGAGGAACCTTTACCATTTCATCAATCTTTAAACCACAATTAATTTTTGGAATCAAGTGTAATTTGCAAATTTCTAATTCAATCCAATAATAAAGTTATTTTAAAAGGTTTCAAGAAAATGAAGTTTCGAGTCCTCTAAAGAATTTTAAATTTACACCACGAACACTTTCAAAAGCACTTTGAACTTTAATTCTATTAATATTAATTTTCAGGGATTGTGTGTGTTTCAGTTTGGAATTACCCAATAATAATAATAAAATAGAAATTTTTTTTGTGTTTGATGTACTAAATATTAAAAAAAAAAAAAAAATTCCTATCGATTCAATATACAACAAAAGGTTAAAATAATATATTTTCGAAAATGCCTTCATTTAACAACAACAATAACAACAAATAACAATAATAACAATAATAACATTAATGGCAACAACAGCCACAATTGGCGTCATTATTTGAAGGTGAAGATGGAATTTTCTAATAATAATAAATCAACTCCTGACCAACGTTTAATAGGGCTAGTCAAGAAGTGGGAAACAGTGAAAGATTGACAATTTTACGCAAATAAATTCAAGAAAAACAACAACAACAACAGCAACAACAGTGAAAACAACAAATTCGCTATTATTTTGATCGCGGTGTTAACCGACAAGTAATTTATTAATTTATTCTAAAAGTAAATTAATCCTCATCATTATTGATAGACGGAGGAACACTTATCATTTCTTCAATCTTTAAATCATAATTAATCTTTGGAATCAAGTGTAAAGTTTCTACAATTTGCAAATTTCTAATTCAATCAAATAATAAAGTTATTTTAAAAGGTTTCAAGAAAATGTGTTAATAACAAAAAAAAAAAATAATAAATTGGTTTACCTTTCTTCTAATTGTGTGAGTCCAGCGCTTAACTTGTCTAAAGACTTTTTTGCAATATTAATATAAATATATCCATATTTACAAAAAAGAAAATAATAAATTATTCAATAATTGTCTACCTGATATGTTGATTTCATTGTCATGTCCAAGTTTGCAAACAATCTTGCCGTTTTCATTATTTCCTTGTGATTAAATTGATATTGATATTAAACCAATTTTTCTATTTATCTTCACAAAAATCAATCGGTTTCACTATTTTTCAAAAACTTACTTCATTCACGTTTGCATTTCTAAGCATTGTCTAAAGAAAGTGAATAATAAATTCTGTCAAATTTCGAGTTCTCTAGAATATTCATATGAATTTTAAGTTTACCTTTACAACACCACGAACACTCCCAAAAGCATTTTGAGCTTTATCATTTAATTCTGTTTTTTTCATTATTATTAATTTTCATTAATTTTCAGGAACTGTGTCTCAATTTGGAAATTACTTAATGAAAATTTTTTTATTGTTTCCCATTTAATTTGTATTTACTAACCAAAATCAATATTAAAAAAAAATTTCCCTAAAAAACCAATACAACAAAGGTTAAATAATATAATTTCGAAAATGTCTTCATTTAACAACAACAATAATAACAATAATAACCTTAATAACCTTAATAACCTTAACAACCTCAACAATCTTAACAACCTCAACAACCTCAACAACCTTAATAACCTTAACATTAATGGCAACAACAATCACAATTGGCGCCATTCTTTGAAGGAGGGAGAGCGTAGACAAAGTCTTATGCGTTTCTTAAAAACTTGGGAAATTTTTAGTAATATTAAAGCAACTTCTGACCAGCGTTTAATAGAAGTAGCCAGGAAGTGGGAAGTTGAAGCTTATGATAATGCTACTTCTAAAGAAGATTACGATCGCTTAACCAGTGAAAGACTGGCAAATATACGCAAACAACTTCAAGAAAAACAGCAGCAGCAGCTGCAACAACAACAGCAGAAACAGCAGCAGCAACAACAACAGCAGCAGCAGCAACAGCAACAACAACAGCAACAGCAACAACAACAACAGCAGCAGCAGCAGCAGCAGCAGCAGCAGCAGCAGCAGCAACAGCAACAACAACCGCAAACTAATTTACAATTAAATCAGCAACAATTACAAATCTTGCAGCGACAAATACTCCAGCAACAATTATTGCAAAACCCACAATTACTATCACAGCAACAACAATTATTACAACAAAATCAAAATCCACAATTACAACTACCGCAGCAACAAAATTTAATCAATGCTCAACTTCTTCAGCAACAAAAAATTGCTCAAATTCAATCACAATCAGTTCGTCCAACTGCAGAACAATTACAACAATTACAACAATTACAACAATTACAACGATTTAAAAATCAACAAATGCTTCAATTTATACATACAGCTCAACAAAGACCAGAGTCATTGAGCCCACAACAATTGCAGTATTATCAACAATTATTAAAAGCTCATCCTTCAATACTACAAATACAAAGACCACCTACTACTACTGCTGCGGCTGCTACTGCCCAACTACTTATTCGTCCTCAATTAGGACATCCGTCACTGCAGCAACAAAATGTTTCTCCTCAACTTGTTCAACAATCTCCAAATCCTAAACAAATACCAAATCAACAACAACAACAACAACAACAACAACAACAGCAGCAGCAGCAGCAGCAGCAGCAGCAACAGCAGCAGCAGCTTAATAAAATGGTAAATAATACTCCCTCTGGTCAAAATAATAATAACAATGACAATGATGCTACTACGAGCACGGGTAACATCAATGAACTTCTAAAAAGAATAACATCAATAAACCAACAAGACTATACTGCAAAAGAAAAAACGTTTGATAATAGTGATTTGGCTTCTAATTCTAACCAAGTGGTTAACAATCAGAAACCCATACCTACTACGCCTGCCCAATTCTCTCCACAACAACCACAACCACAAACACAACCACAACCATTGCAACAACAACACATACAATTAATGAATCAAAATATTAAACCTGCGAATATGGTTCATTTACAATCTCTAGCTCATCCTATTAATATTAATGCCAATTCTACACAACCAACGCCATCATTTTCCTCTCAAACAATAAATAATTCTATAACTCCACAACAATTAAATCAGTTAGCCAAAGCTCAACTACTTCACCATCAACAACAACAACAACAAAAACTACAGCAGCAGCAGCAGCAACAACAACAACAACAGCAACAGCAACAGCAACAACAACGAAGACCCAATCTTATACATTCTCCAAATAATAACAACCAAAATATTATGAATTCTACAAATACACCTGTTGTTGTTGCCAATAATAATGTTGCTCGTAATCTTATAAACCAACAAAATTATGTCAGACCAGCTTTAAATAATCAATTAAACTCTCGTTCAATGATAATTCCTACTCCTAATTTACCAATTCACGCGCAAAGACAAAGAACGGTTGTTCAACCACCCCAACAGCAATCAACAAATAATAATATAAATAATGTTTCCATACCTCAACAAACTCAACCAAGCGTCAAACAATCAAGTCATAATACTTCTACATCGTTAGTAACACCTTCTTCATCAGTTGCTCAAGTTAATAATACATCGATAATAGATAATAATAGTGGCAGTGGCAGTAAAAATAATAACAAAACCAATAATAACAACAATAACAACCAATCAAATGATGGCACTATTAAAACAGATGAATTTGCTGTTGCTCGTGATGTAATTAGAGAACTTGATGCTAAAACTCGTGAAAAAAGAGTAATAGCACATGAAATTACCAATCTTAGTGATAATGAGAAGGCAAAAATTCGTGAGAAATTTGAATCACTAAAACCAATGTTCCACAATGCTGACAAAATACTTCCTTACTTATACCACCATACTAAATCTCATACTGGCACACAAAAATTTATAAAATTGAAATACATGATCGATGACCAATTAAAAGCATTACCTGGAAAATACTTGTTTTCATTAAAACAAGCAGATGATTTGATGACAGCATTTAGCAAATACTTTGAGTTTGTTGAGGACGCCAAAAAAGGTGTCAAAAGAGAATTAAATACAAATAACTTTATGCCAGCAAGTGTCCAAAGCATACCTCCTATAGCCAATAAATCCATGTCACTAACTCTTCCAAACAAGAAACGTGGACTTGAAAATGAACAAGAAGATAAATCTTCTGGTTCACATGAAAATTTAAATAAAAAAAGAAGGTCGGAGATTCATATTACTGATAGAAATGAAATCAAAAACAATAATTCTGAAAATATCAACAATAACAATAATAGTATTGACTTTGGGCATGATAACCCACCTAAAGATTACGATAAGGAACCATCATTTGAAGAAATCTTTGAAACAATAAGAAATTTATGGAGTACAACGAAAGACATGGATACTGGAAAAGCAGCTAAGGGAAGCGAAGAAAGTCATCTTCCTTGTAGTACGCATGTGGCAATTAGTCCCGGTCTTGTTTGTATTGGCAAGGCCTTGTCAAAATCTGCTTGAGTGCTTCTACTTCATTGAGAGGATTATTAATTGGTACTTTAGTTGGTTGCTTTATTTATTTTTTATTTTTATTTTTTTTTTATTATTATTGAAAGGAAATTAATAGATAAATATTTGCAATTCTATATATTATGACTTCTTTGATATTTCCTATCATCTGTGCTACAATCAAAGCACTACATCGTTGTTTGTTGTTTCATCTGATTGATCAATAAACAAACTTCATTGTGTTGAGTTATTGCTTTATTGAACTTCCATCCTAAATTGATCCATCTTTCTATAGAATGATTTATACTTGTAATATAATTTTGTTTATTATTGTTATTGTTAGAATCCTTATTTTTTTTATTTATATTATTAATTTTTGTTGTTAGGTCTTCTTTTAATCCTATTATTATCATTTTCCCAATTGACAACATAGTTGGCTGCTTTATTTATTCTGTGTAGATACATATATTTACAAATTTAGTATTATATAATAGAATTTGTTTTTCATTTATCTTTTCACTCTTCTATCTATATTTATATAAATAAATGGTTGATTAAGTTTGAATGAATTTCTGAATATAGGTATTTAAAATTTGTGAAGTAAACGATTTGCTTTTAATGGGTTCGTGAAACAAGTCTCCCGTTGATTTCAATTTTATTAAGAATTGGTTGTTTACTTTTTGAATGTATACTTTTTTTACTAAAGCTTGATTTTGGGGGTAACACTGGTATGCTAATTGAACTCTTACACAAGAAGATATTGTACAGTTGGAATGACTAATGAATATCGTTCACCACAGACATATACGTGGTGTTTCCAACAGACTAGGCTTGTACAATTTCGTAGAATTATCAATGGCAAGGTAATTATTGTCAAAGTACGTGGTACTGTTGAGCGTATCAATACATTGTGCATTTCATTAAAGTGTGGATGCACTATAAAGTCATTCAACAACTGCCATTGCTGATGCACCGACCTTCTCAAACACTTAAACATCTATCTACACCACCACCAGTCAATTTATGCTTGGCATTCGAAACACTTTCAAGATCAAAAAGGTCCGATAGAAGTCTTTCTCGTGATTAGGGAGATTTTCTGGTCATTAATTATATGGAGAGATGTTTGGGTTCCTTTATTTAATATGTTATCAGATTTTCTCTCTTATAATAATTTTTTTTTCTATAATATATGTCTTGACGTCTTTATCTAAACAATTTAGTTTTCTTTTTTGTGAAGATGAGCATAGCATTAGAAATGTGTACACACATATATATATATATTAATATCATTTCGCGCGTGGTTTTTGAATAGTTACTTGAAAATAAAAAATAGTGAATATTCTTTGTTTAGTGAACTTTTTATGGCCATGACTATTATTTTATTGTTAATAATTGGAAACTCCAAATACATGTATGTTGCTTGCTTCAATTTGTAGAATTCTAGTTTTTTAATATTTGATTTATATAAGCCTGACATTATCCACAAGAGAAAGATATAAACATTATCGTGGTGTTTGTAAGGTCATATCCATGAGAGAGAGAGGGAGGGAGAGACGAATAGTCACGATCATAGGTCAAATAAGTATAGCAGTTTTATCACCTTTGGTGGACCGACACCATATAGCAAGGAAACGGCTTTATTTCATTTAAACTTAATTATCCTTTTTAGACCTGTGGATTATAGATACCTATTTTCCAAAAAGTTTCTTTGAAACTGATTTTATCTTAATAAGTAAAGAAACTACAAATATCCTGTATTTACAACTGGAATGGTTATAATAAGTCTGATATTCAGGATCCGATGAACTTAAATATTAAAAAAAGAAATAATTTATTATCACAATTGAAATTGCCGCATAATAATAATAATTCAGGGCTAAAATTATTATTTAACATCACAATTGCAGTGTTCACTTTTTTCAATCACGCATTCAACAATGTCCTGATTGGAATGGCCCAAGAGTGTAGATTAAGGTAAGTATTGGGTTTGGTTTTCTTTTGTTGGATCTTTTAACTTATTGACTATATGGGATCTAATTATTTAATTTTGGTTTTTGTGTGAACGCGATCTACATACAAAAAGAAAAACGTTCTAGAGGGTGTTATAATTATAATACGAACGTATGAACAGTACGTGCCAAGTACAAAATCTTTAAAATATTGAATTTGATGTAGCACACATCAAAATACTCGGGTTTGAGGTTTGGTCATTCTTTGCTTGGGTGACCATAATATTGACAATTAAAATATTATATTTTTCATCAAGTACAAGCTTAAGTGGTGTGTCAGCACTTGATATTTGAATTGTTTTTGAAGATTGTTCTGCTAAAAGAGAGGGCATAGAAGAGGGCAAAATACAAGAAATTGAATGCAAGTTTTTAAAAGAAGAGTTATATCTCTAACATATTTTAGGCCTTATAGGTTTATCAGTTTCGGAGGTTGAGAAATTAATTGTGCGATAGGTTGGGTGCAATAATAATTTCCTTTTGAAATATATATTCATAATATTTTCATTATAAAATCATAATATTATTATTTGTGAAAAATTACAAATATGTATATCTCTAATTTTAAAAAGAATCCAATGCAGTGGCAATACCTTGATGAGAGAAAATCAAAGAGCATCATAGATTTCATCTGCTCATCCCACGACAACACCACCATTAATGAATTCTTCAAATTGACTATATCATAATTTTGTATTTTTTGCTGTATTTTGTGATTTTGCTATATTAACATATTTGATGACTGTATCTTCAAAAGGTTATTCAAATTTGCCTTTCTAACAGAAATAAAATTTATTAATAAAAATATATTATTAAATTTAAATAGTAAAAATAACATATATTGTTTGATGAACTTCAAATAGAATTTAAATTGGAATTCTAAAATATATTTATCAAGAGGGAGAGAGGATAACTTCTAAATGCATCAAGGATTTTTTAGTTCTTGGGTTGCAACTTCAGGATTCATTGAGGCAGTTGTAAAAGGAGGTTCCTTTTATTATAATTAAAAGTACCTTTTAAACTGAATAATCAAGTAAAATAAAACAAATTAGGTTTTTACCATTTTATGAAAGAAATTTTGGAATTGGAATTGTTTTTGGAAAAATAACAATTTTTTATAAAGTAAAAACGTACAATTACATAAGTGACATGGGATAAATATTTTATCCTCTGGGTTGATAGGTAATTATTATTATTGCCAATTTTTTCCCGTTTATGGAATAATCGTCAATAATCACGTAATCAGTCTTTCCCTTTCTTAAATCACGTGATCGCGCAATTTTTATTGCATTTTTGATTGGAAATTTTTTTCTCAAGGCTGTCGCTGAGGCACAGTAAGTTGCAGGGTTAGGCAATTTTTTTAAAGTTACGTTTATTTGTTATAAATAAAAAAATTTATGCATATACAAATAAATCAATAGCTATTTGTCAATCAAACACAATACAATTTCTTAAATAGGAATAAACACCAGTCTTGGGGAAATTCTTGTTCCTAGTAAAAAAAAATGAACGAAGGTATTTTTTTTCTTACACAGAAAATAACTATTTTAAAAATATGTAGTATTTTTACATCATAATTTAATATTTTGCTTTATA